TGAAAAGTCATGGTGATCAGGGGAGGTCCCTGACAAATGGACAAAAGCAAATGTTTGCAAAAAAGACCAAAAGGACAGTTTGAGGAACCACAGGTTCTTCAGCCTTACTTTGTTCCCTGAGAAAATAGTGTAAAAAGTCACCTGAGAAAACATTTCTGGGCATATGAAGGATTACACGGTGGCTGGTAACTGTAAGCATGAATTTATCAAGTGTAAATTATGCCTGACCAATCTGTTTGCCTCCTATAGTAAAGTGACTGGCTTTGCAGACCAGGGGAGAATGGTAGATTCCATTTACCTTGATTGTAGCAAGGCTTTCAACACTGTCAGAAAATACTGTCAACATACAAGTTTGGATGTTACAGTCTGGATGGATGGACAACTAGATGAGTTAAAAAGTGGTTGGATGATCAGGCTCAGAAGGTAGTAAACATGTTGTACTGTATCTGGAGGCCAGTAACAAATGGAATACTATAGCGGCCTATCCTGGAACCTGTTTCTTTCTTTTAAATATCTTTGGCAGTGACTCGGTGATAAAAATAGATGCTCATCAAGTTTGCAGATGATACCAAATTGGTTGGAACAGTCAATATACTTGAGGGCAGAGCTGCCATGCAGAGATGCCTAAACTGACTGGAGGAATAGGCTGACAGGAACCATATGAAATTCAACAGGACATGCAAAGTCTTGGAAAAGGATAACCCCTTGCAATGATACAGGCTGGGGAGCAGCTCTCTGTAAAAGAACCTGAGAGTCTTGCTGCATGTTCAGCAAGCTAACCATGAGCCAGGAGTGTGTCTTGGCAGCAAAGGCGGCCAACAGTATCCTTGGCTGCATCAACAGTAGTGTAGCCAGTAGTCTGAGGAATGTGATTATCCCTCTCTAATCAGCACTTGTTGGATCAAATTTAGAATACTGCCTCCAGTTTTGGGCCCCCCAGTCCAGGAAAGGCACTGATAAACTGGAGAAAATTCAGCAGAGGGCTGCCAAGATGGTCAGGGAGACATACCCTGTGAGAAGCAGCTAAGGGAACAGCTTGTTCAGTCCAGAGAAGAGAAGGCTTCAGGGGTATCTACTAACAGCTTTCCAATACCTACAAGAAGGTAACCAAGAAGATGGAGCCAGGCTCCTCATCTTGGCAGTCAGTGGAAGGAAAAGAGACAACAGGCATAAATTGAAACAAGAGAGGTCCCAACTCAATATAAAGAAAAAAAAAACATTTCACCATGAGGACACTCAAACAGTGGAACAGGTTGCCAAGAAGGAGATTGAAAACCTCCAAGGATGGAGACTGCACAAAGCTTGACTGGATAAAGCCCTGATTAACTTAGGCTGACCCCATAATTGACCCTGCTTTGAGCTTTTGAACCAAAAACTTCCTGATGTTCCTTCCAACCTGAATTATTCTATGATCCTAAGTTTAAGGAGACCTATAGACAATGTTTTGCACGTGCTTGCACACCTTTCCAGCAACTTTAGAACACTAAGCTCCAGGGCTGCGTGAATACTATCCAAGCAACTCAAACATTCAGCACAAGACCAGATGAAGTCTCATACGCTTTCTCTCCCAAAATACTACGTTATCTCCAGGTGCAATCACTACTTCACAAAGTCAACATATACAAAATAGCGTTTTCCCTGTCAAGGGAAAGCTCAATGCACTAATCCACGTGCACGATCAAGTCAAGCTCTATAACTTCTACAATTGACTGTGAAAACTGCTCACAGCCCTGAAACGAAGACCCACTCCAAAGCATCATACTCGCTCAAATATGTTGAATGAAACAATACAGCTAACTTTAAACAGCTACTAATGTGGGCTGTGCAATAGTGTCACCTAGTGGTCAGTGCTTACAGAGAAGTCGGGGCCCACTTCAACAAGAAAAATTACTGCCCATCTACCAACTTCACTACTCTACAAAATCGGTGGGGACGTTTAAAGTATATATATGTATACACACACACACACACACACACACTTATATGAGCCAACAAGTGAAGTAACCAATAAGACAAATGCCTTTCCATCATTCAGTTTTAAGTTACACACACCTTATACAAACTTGAAAAAAATCATTCCAGAAATGGAATAAGTAAGTTCTTTCTAGATGCAAGAATCCTTATGGTCTGGCCTAAAAGAGAAGGATTTCCAGAACGATGGATTAGTACTGCACTTTCTCATTTATACCAACAGAAAAGAGCTTCCAGATCCTGAGGTGTATAATAATCATCCCCTTCGCTGACAAATACAACATTGGTATGTTTCTTGTCAAGAAACAGGCGGAAGTAGTAGAACATCCAAGCTCTCTATTTACTTCATAAACATTATCCAAGTCTTATATGTACAGAATCTGTAAATAGTTTTAGGGTTCTAAGTTTTACAGCATCCTCAAGCTTTAAAGAGTGTTCATGCTACCGATTCTTGAAAGATTAGTGATTTCTTCTAATCTTAGACACCTGGAGAATGAGAAGAGGCAAACTTGAACTATTTCAAAATTCCAGAGATTTGTAAGAATGGTTGTTCTGCTCAGTGAATACACCTTGAAACTACCAAAGTTCATCATATCTTTCCATTTCTCCTGCTATCAGGTCTGCTTACACTTTTTGCCATATTTGAATCAAATCACCAGAGTTTCATTAAATTTCCACTCTGTTCAACACCTTTCCCTTCCCTCATCTCATCTGCTGTTCACTTTGTTAGCTGAATGACTTGGGGATGAGACACGCATTTTTATTATTCTCCATAGGTTAGCAGATACTTCATTGCACCATATCTCCTACTATGTTCAAAATATTCTTAAGCACATCCCATCACTGTCCAACTTCTTCAATTCAGTTTCTAGGTTTCCAGAGCAAAGGAACTTGACTCAGGCAGATGAAGAAAGCCTCTTTTCAACATGTGTTCCACAATGACCCAGCATTTATTTGGCTACTTTGTATTTTATGCAAGTTCAAGTTTCATAAGATCTCCACTGTAACAAGATGAAACTGAAATCACAGACTTCTAATCATTAAGTAAACAACCAAAAATACTGCATTTTTCTTGTGGCATAGCAAATACTGAGACTTGGTTTTTGCAGCTTGGTTAATCTCTGCATCAGAGAAACAGCAATACTGCACATAGATTGTCCAGTTTGCTCTTAGATTTCTCAGCAGGCTTCTAAAGACTAAGCAACTGAAACTTTTGCTGCATTGTTGCTTTTTTTTCTTCTGCTCTTTAGATTGCAGTAGTAACAGAACTAGAGAAATTTCTTGTGTAAAACTGCATCTTCTGGAATTCATAACAACTGTCACATCACAGGCAGGGTATACCGATGATCCTCACTCATATGTTTGCTTACCAAACACTTAAGAAAAATACCTCTTTGTTCACCAATGTTGTGACCCTTGGAGTTTCTAAGCTGTATACTAGTTCCATAATATTTGAGAACTTCAACATACTAATGAAGATTCTTTCAAAGACAGCCAACTGTTTGGTATATTTCTATAGGCACTGAGCTATTATATAGGTACATATATAAAAACAATAGCAGTATTGTACATCATGAGGTTATAAAGCCCATACAGAGTACAAGACATACTAGAAACATCACAGTACAGCTAGCTTCCATTCTTGGTCAATGATACAACCAATGACACCTACATCCATACATGCAACCTAATGAACTCAGCAAAATCTTACATTAATGAGATTTATATCCCAGAATAAATGGGACAGCAGGTACAGCAGAGAAAGCAACAGAATAGCTAAATGCTGAAAAGAATTTCCAAGCTCTAGAGAATTCTCCCAATTAGAAACTGATAATTCCCAGCAACTATCCCACTCTGATTTTTCCCACATGACTTAAACAGAAGGGTCATTAACAAGATGTAGCATTTATGTTACACTTTCCTGAACTGTATATACCTGAAAAAGTGGTCTTTCCACCCTAAAAAATAAGTTCATGCACATAAGTGTTTTTTCATTTCTCATTTTGATCAATGTACAGCGCCAGATATGATTTAAATAAAGAAAAAAGCATACATTAGATGTTGAGTCAAAAGTCACCAGCACACTGGCATCCAGGATGTTGAAATGAAAGAACAAAGAAGCAGAATTAAAAAGTAAAACAGAAACTGCAAAACAGCTTCAGAAATACTTCCTACTTCCAGCTTCAATGCAATCTGAACAGTAATTTAAATAATGGTTATGGTTTGCTTATAACATTTTGTTTATAACTGTGTGGATTAGACTCATTCAAACTTAATAAAAAAAAGATTCTTTAGTATCAAGGACAGAACTATTACAGATGATTTGCTAAAGTTTTGTATATAAAAATGAGTATAAATAAAAAATCACTAATTTCTATAATGCTTAAGAAAATTGCTCTTGTCTCTGTACTAATGCCAGCACTTACCAATTCAAATTCCTGTGTTACACTTACACTTCTTTAATTAGACTCACATTTATAAGCCTGCCCTAAAGACTAACTTCAGGTCTTCAAAAACATTCAAAATCAGTGACTTCACCAGAGCCTTCCTAAGAAATAATTCTTATGCTTTGTTTATGTAGTTAAAAAGAAAAGAAAAGAAAGGCTAAATAACCAATGTCATCATTTGTCAGGAGCAATAAAGACTCCTTTATATAAGGGTACACACAATGAAATGACAAAAAGGAAGTCATTAATGAGCAAGAAGTAGTAAAGCACATATCAGTTTATGTACTTACCAGACCCGCAAGATTGAAATCTTTGGAAGTTCGTTTACAATTAGGGAACTAACCAAATAGCCATTCATACATTGATTTGATAAAAATTTAATACAAAGAATAACCTCAAAAATCTATAAGCTTACCCCAATTGTTTTTCAAATACTTATATTTTGTAATAAGGTTTAAACATTTACTCTGAATTATTTAATAAGTAAATTATTAGATTCTCTTTCATTCCTCCTCCAAGACACATGCACAAGAAAAAAAAAAGGTGCTCAACAAGACAAAAATATAACAGAAACTCTATTACCTTGGATTTAAGATTTCACCAACAATTTCTTGCAGCTTGTCAATAAAATTAACAAAGTTTGAAAGCCCCTTTACATGGGCTTTTAAAGGATCAAATAATGAAGACGCACAGCCTCTTCCTCCAAGTTCTACAGTTCGGATAAAAGATGTTGCCATCTATTAGGAGAAATATTCAGAAATATGAAACTGTAGACACACGTGAAATGTATGGACGTTGAAGTGAGCCTCTCCTACGGATTTGCAAACTGTGTATAACAGCTAATTGACAGCAGAAATTAACTAAAATCAATAGAATACCTCTTAATAGCAAGTTTTGTACATGTCACCATAAATATTTGCAAGATCAATATTTAAATAGTGCTGCAGTATAAAAAAAACATAAGCCAAAGCGAAAATGACCCAGCTAATTTGATATTTACACTGGCCTTTTGACAGTTTAGAAAAAACTTTAGGACAGCGTATAGAATTTTTTTGTTGTTGCTGCTGTTTAAATGCTTGTCCTGACCTCACAAAAACTACTTATATTCAGAGAGCTGTCCATGACCCAAGAACAATTCTTACATAAGTAGTATATTTATTTCCAGAGGTCCAAATAAAAATAATGTATACCCAAAACTTCTGAAAAATTATGACAGTTAAGGCTTCTGTCATCACAGGTACCCAATTCTGAGAGCTTCCATTTTTATATGCTGTAAAGACACTGAAAACAAGAGATGTCCCAAAAGCAGTATGCCTTAGAAGACAACCCCTCAAATTTTAAGGCAACAGTCAGAATAAAAAGCTTAGCAGTTCTCCAGAAAGGTGGAAGTAAAGATAACAATCCAATATGCTTGACACAGATGCAGTAATATTAATTCTACATATAAATTTTAATTTCAGACTCTACAGCTAAAACATAAAGCTCTTAGGACTGGAAAGAGTACAACTGGAATTACTCTAGCAAAGAAAGTAAACCTGCCAGTATTCCTGCCTTTGTGCTAAAGATTTCCTGTGGATCAAGTACAGTTCATAGGACCTTGCCTTCCTAATGGCAAATATTCTGGCTTTGCAAGATTTCTGCAAGACACAGATGCCAGAAAAGAAGACTTCTTTACACGGTAGAGAAGTTTCCCCTCTGGCAGCTGTGAGGAAGAAGTAATAAATCCAGTCCAAACACTTTTTTTTTTTTTTTTATACAATGTTAACAGAGCATTAGGAGCTAAAATAATTAATCCTGGAACTGAGATTTCACAAATTTTCCATATTTATCCAACCATAAAAATCTGAGAACGCAACTGCTTCATTGACTGTTACATACCCATACTGTTTTTCCTTGGTCTGCTGTTGTCTGCACTGAGGCCACTGTGCATGCAAAATTTGATTATTTTGAATATGAGAGACTACAGTGGTTCTCTGGAGAAAAAATTCCTACTCATCTTATTCCAACTATTTTTGAGATGGCTCTGTACTGACTATAACTACTGTAAGCATAAGTGCACCTCACATACCAAACTAGATTCTTTAGCAACAAGCCTGTGTGAGCACTGCACATTGATGCTGTAGCTTTTCATATTCCTATACAAGGGCACTGAGGAAAGAGTATACCACTGTCTTAAGGGTTTTTTTCCAGCTCTGTGCCTTTGAGAATAAAATGAGCAGGATTGTCCCATATCAATCACATCTTGAAGAGTGTTTCAAGACTGATCAAGCTGCAAATGACTAGAAAGCATTACCCTCCCCAAATTCTGAGTCAAAGCTGAAAAAACTCCACTATTGCCCTTTCAAATTTTGGCCTGTATTCTAGCGTACGTGTCAAAGGCAGGGGTTTGTCACCAGGTTGCTCTAAGAAAAGCAATTTGTACGCAGAAATACTTTAGGTTCCAGATGTCTCAAGTTTAACAAATGCACAGAAAAATACTGTTTTACTATTTAACCAAAATACTTACAGGACTTTAAAACTGGAACGCATTGTAATGCATTGTTAGTGGCTTGGTTTTGTTAATGTTAATACTGCTTTGCTTGGTTTTATTAATGTTAATACTGCTTTGTGAGATATTTGGTAAGCAGCAGCACCTAGTCTAATGCCATCTTTTCTTCCTTTGTCTTTTTTCTTTGATATGCATACTCATGACCTCACTTCACACCATCTACCAAGATTTCAAAATTTTAAAAGCAATAATAAAAAGCATATTTTATATTCATGTTTAAGATGGTAAACTTTTTCAGGATTTCAGTCACTGTTGGGATGAATAGTCTCGCTGCCTGTTTTTATGATATCATATTTTAGAGCTCTAGAGGTACACATGCAGACAATTATTTTTCTGTGCATCTTTAGATCTCATGACCAAGCAAGCACCTGTTTCTTCACATAGAATTTCTGTTGTGTCTTTTTAACCTGGAAACAATGTTTATGGTGGTATTTGACTTGGCTTGCAAATGTCAGTCTTGCATGTGAGATTAAAGCAACAGTTTATGTTCACAGAGCTATTTCATTGCCTCTGATCTATGGCAAGTTTCATTTGACACACATACCAGGAAAATGGACATTTTTCTCTTCTGTGAGGCATGTTTTAGATTAGTGAAGGCTTCTCTACCAAGTCCTCTGTCAGGAACATTTAGAATATGAGCCAATGCCAGATCATCCTTGGAATTCACCAACAGGCTTAAATATGAACAAACACACTTCTTTGCCAGGATTGTCACCTGTATAAGAAAGCACCACACAAATTGGTCACCCTGCTGCTAAATTATGGTCCTTTTTTTTTTTTTTAACTAATTAGATATGTACTGATATGATTTTTGGAAGAGTAAGAATTTCACCTTGCATAATTTCAAAATGCTACTTATGTATGGGATTCTGGAAGTATTAACAAAAGCAAGCCTGATTAATATGTTAAAATTACGTATACTGTACTTGAATATTCACAAAATATTTGAGGGTTGGATCTCTAGCTATTAAAACTGGCTATCAATTTCTACTTAAAAACCTCTTCACAGATATTTGTTTTCTATCCCAAGGCAGAATACTAGCACCATTAAACCACATAAGGATTTGTCATTAACTTCAAATAGGCTAAGATTCTAAACAACTTGCCAGCTCCGTGCCAAATTCAGTAATTTTTCCCTTGGCTTCCAGGGGATTTCAATCACAGAAACTCCACTGATTGAGTTTGGACATAAAATTATGACCCAGCTCCACCCACATAAACAAAACATAACATTGTAATTGCTTATATTGCAGCACTGTTCTGGGCCTTGTATGAACAACAGTCCCAGAACTGAAGAATTTACAGTTTTTTCACAAGCAAAGAAAACAAAAAAGGCCATTAACAAAAGGAAAGATAATGAGAAAACCTACATTTGCTATGGAATTTCTTCTTATTCAATAGGATGTATACAACAAAAATGTAGGCAGTAAAAAACCAAATATGTATGTGTGACAGTCTGAAAACATAGATGTAAGAGAAGGAAAAATGAGCAAGGAATATTTTTACTACACAAGTCAGAGCAGCAAGAAAGCCATGTTAGTGGTAGAAGTGCTATCTAGGGGAGAACCTTAGTTCAGAGAATATTTTCTTGTTCAGAAATATTTTGAGTTGTACCCAAATATTGACTTGAAATTGCCACTTATGAGAAAAGCAAGTTCAGAAGTGATTAAAGCTCCAGCATTTCAAGCATTGTTATGCAGTATTCAGAGATTCTTGTTTTGGGGGTTGAAAGGGTAAAAGGAAAGAATCCAGTATTCCCAGAAAGTCCTCAAGTCCTCTACTGGGACAGACAAACCTTGTTTGCTTTGCTACGTCTACCACTACGGTGGCTATTCAGATTTTTCTGTATGTAAGGGAGTATGAGCTAATAAAATTAAATCAAAGATGTTTACTTCACCTACCACTTCACTTTGCAGCATTGGGCAAATCACTTAACTCTTAGTCAAGACAATGTTTGAGTGATGGTGTACTTGTAGGAAAATTTATTCCCTGGTGTTTCAAGGCAGATTAGGTCTACATCAAGTGCCTGCCATAAAAGGACTGTCTTCCAGAATATAAATTTCTGGACTTAGCCCCATACACACACCTACAATATAATCAAGTGATACAGAGTTTGAATACACACGTTCTGTTTTTTTAAACCAGCAACATTTTAATACCAATAATTGGAAAATGAAACTATGTTATATTTCGTCTTTTCAATGTATACAGAACAGTACAAAACAGACAGAAATACTTTTTACCTTCACATTCTCCTGGCCCTGTCTGTTGAGTGGTGTAGAAGGAGTAGAAAGAACAGAACCATTATTTTCTTGTACATTCATTATGCCAGAAATAAATTCCAACAGTTGAACCTTTAATGAAAAGATGAGAATAAACTTAAATATAAAAATTACTAGAAAGCAAAAGTAGTATTAAAACCTGGTGAAACTACGTCTCTGCCAGTTTGCTAGTGTTTTGAGGTTAACGCAGCCCTTACAACCTAGTCTTGGTTTTAGTCTTTAAAAGTACAACTGTTTTAGTAGAGAAATGAGCCATAAGATTCAAATTAACTTAGAGATATCTCAAACAGTTATGTAATACACTTACACTAAAAGCAGCTGCTTATGTTTTGGTGAACATTTAATACGTTATACCATGTTTAGGAAAAGCTTATTAACCCACCCAAGTTCTCTATCTTCCCCATGAAAACAGTAAAAAAAAAAAAATTTTAAAAAATCGCAGTTTCCATGTCCTTCCTGAACTTCAGTTCTCCTTATAATCTCTTTTGTGCCCAATAATCACATGAGTGTTTGAGTGTAGGTTCTCTGAACCTTTAAGGAAGTAGGCAAGCTGGTTACAGGAATACTTGTCACAGAATCATACAATAATTTAAGTTAAAAGGGACCTATAGAGGTCATCTAGTACAAACCCCTGCTTGAAGCAGGACCAGTTTGACCAGGTTGCTCAGTCATATGCTGAGCCAAGTTTTTAATATCTCCAAAGATGAGATTCCACATATTCTCTGGGCAACCTGTTCCAATACTTGACTAGTTTTTCATGACGAAAGCTTTTCATTCTTACTAGGGCTGGAAGGTAAACAGTTTTAATCATGCTATAACTAGTAATTCATGGCATGTTCATAATATACCTCAGTTCAATTAACATTCAGTTACTAATATAGCTTCCCTTGTATTAAAATTACCATCTGATTAAACATATATTAAATTCAGAAGATGAAATAAACAGTAATTTGTTTAAGTCTGCAATGCTGAGAGTGGGCAGTAGAAGCAGACAATTAACTCCTCTCTAATTTTCGTGATAAGCTAGAAGTATGTGCATCTAAATCCAACACTCACTAATTTTTTCAGTATCAATATCCTTTGTCTTTTGACCTTTCCATGGTCCAGAGAGCACAGAATCAAATAAAATCATGTGGAATGCTTGTGTTTCAAACTTATCTTAATTGCTACTCACGTATATTTTTTATCCAATAACATAGAGATTAATCAAATTCATTTTTCATAGACTTTGATAGTCTAAGAGTGGAATACACACTAGAACTTCTCTAGCCTAGAGCATGGCATCACATGCAGTGTCACAAGAACATCTGAGCTGCAACAAAATGCAACAGAGCTGCTGACTGAATGGCTAAAGTGGAACCTCTGCTGGTTTCTGGAAAAAACTAACATGGATCTACATGTAGTATAGGGAAGTTTTTGCTTTTAAAAGCATGGTATTTTTAAAATGATAGCCATTAAAAATATTTTGACTGCATATCAACATAGAACCAAACCTCCATGACACATGTTAATCACTAAGCTTTGTTACAGTCTTATCAAATCTCTACAGTTCATTTTTCATTTCCGTTTCTGGCAAAGAATTATATACTCATAGAAGAGCTGTGGGACCCACCCATCCAGCAGGACAACAGAAAGAAATAATTTTTGAGTGAATTTAAGATCTCTTTAAAAGATTTAGTAATTTAAACTCATCTCCTTCCCCAATAGAAGAGCAAAGTAGCTTGTGAATAATTCAGAGCTCCTCTGTATATTTAGAAGTGTCATAAATCCATAAGCAGAATCAAAAATATGTCAAAACAATATCAGAGAGCAAACAAACAAAATACTTACAGGGGCTATGCTTTCATCTTCAGATATAAGTCCAAGACCATAGCACTTCTGACATATGTCTATTAGATCTAACATATTGCTTCTTGCTAAGAAGGCATGATAGGTTTTTTTTAGGTCAGCATAATTTTCAGGTTCTTTCATGTTTTTGTATGATAAACCCAGTTTGTCATGTAACAAATATTTCCAAGTTTCCAACACATCACTAAGAGATACTGTGAAATCTCCATGGTGCTAATAGAACAGAAAAAGGAGAAATATGTTTTGTATTCAGCATAGTTTTTAAAATAACTTTAAAACAAGCTGCATATATATATATTTTAAAAGTATTGTAATCTAAATATTTAAGTTTATAATAAACAAGGTCTTACTTATACTTGAAGTTCTTCCAGTGTTTTGCCTTTGCAGTTGAGTTTTGTTATATGCAGTATTTGTTCCTGATCTTTAAAATACCAGGTATCTATATTGAACTTTACTCATAAGAAAAGACATATTGACTTCTGCAGGACTAGTGCTTGCATAAAGTTATTTATTTGCAGAAATAGTTTTCAGCATGGCAGGCATTTACATCCCAAAGGCAGTAAATAGAGCTTAATTACCTTGCTTCAAGCAGTAATCTGGGAAAACATATGTCAAAAAAAAAAAAAGAGCTTTTTTCCTGTGTTAGTACAGTTATACTTCAGCATAACATTGATGGTGTTGCTACATAGATCTAACAAATATATTAAAGCAAGGTACACCTATCTGTTACTAGTATGATAACTAACATTAATCATACAGCATAGGCTACAGTCTTATACCCAGCTTCTGGCCCACTCTCCCTGTCAAAATTATTAGCTTACATTCCATGTGCTCCTCTGCCTTCTCCCCAACCTCCAATAAGAAGAGAATTACAGCTTATCAGAAAATTAGCAGAATTAATAGAGATTAATATAGAACTAATTTAAAAGAGCAGATGAAGTAGGTAAATGACAACAAATACACAGGCAGCAAAAAAACTAACAGCATTTTATTAGCAACTGAAGAACCTTTTCCTATTCTAGGCAAAAAAGAAAATTCAAATTTATCACAAAGAAACTTAAGAGGCTTGTATCACAGTTAGAAGTCCCTTTCTTCTTCCCAGCTCTTGAGAGGAGTGCTCTCTTGACCTTTGGTGGACAGAAGCAGAAAATATATCAACAGGAATGACTAAAATCATGTTTAATTTACATATTAGTTTATCATATTTTTTCAACACATTTACATCAAAGTGGGGACATCTGCTATTACTACATTTATATGTAGGGGTGTATTAAGTAATCATTCCTAAGCACTTCTTAGAAGAGTGAATACTTAATTGTAAAGCAATAAGCTTGCAGTTTTGTTGTGCAGTTCTAAACTAAAAGGAAAAAAGGGAACAAATTTTTCTTAAAAAGTTATCTCTACATGGGAGAACAGAAGACACTAAGAATGAGGGAGACTGTATGTAGTCCATAACACTACATGTAATCTCATTTAGGAAGCAGAAGTAACTAAAGAACCAAAGTTGTTAGCAAACCTGGCATGGTTGGAGGTTACAAGGATGGCAGCAGGGCACAAATGACAAACAAAAATTTGGAAGTGTCACAGCAGATAGGAACAGATAGTGGAGCTAGAATTCACAGAAATTTAAAAACAAGCTGAGTAAGTGACAAAACCCTGTTATTTGAGTCACAAACTGAGTGATACATTACTGAAGGAAGTAGGATGCAAGCCAGCTACCATCCAGTTGTATCAGTAAGAAGCTAGAGGAGAGAGCAGCTATTGCTGCACTCTAAGAAAGAAATAGTTAGGTACAATGCATAATCCTACCTGTTTAATCCCTGACATTGTCTTTTTTACTTTCAGTAAAGTACTAGTTTTTTTAAACCAAGTGATTCACAGTTGTGAGTGGGGTAAAAAAAAAAAAAAAAAAAAAAAAAAAAAAAAAAAAAAAAAAAAAAAAAAAAAAAAAATCAGCTCACTGAGCATCAGACACTTTTAATTAAGTTTTCCAGTTCAGCGTGTGGGTACAAGGAACTGCGAGAAATCCGAGCCTGTCTCTTGTGGCTGCCAATAGAGGAGATGAGTGTATTGTCAATGGTTAAAGACTGCAACACTGAGGAAGCCAGAAAATCAGTTTCAATCCCTGTAAGCCAAGCTATGCACACAAAGAAAGAATTGCATTAAGATGCTATTTATATAAGTGAAAATACACAGTAGCAGAGAATTCTGCTACTAATTAGATTGAACTAAAGGTAACAGAGACAAAACACAGGGTTTGGGATGCAGGATTACATACATATTTCTGGCCTCTAATTCAGAATTTGGTCCTTTATTCACTAATTACTACTTAAGTTGTTTTTCATCTCTTGACCACTGACCCTGGACTTCCGCTCCTGTACTGTTCTCTGCCTTTCCAAAATTCTAGCTAGGAGTTGCTAACCTCCCTACACACCCATACCTCATTATATTCTGCGCCTGTTTTCACCTTACTCCCAAATCTTGGTGTCTTATCCAACGTCCATCACAATCTCTGTTTTCTCATAGCCATGTTTATTGCAGATCTTTTCATACTACCATACTCTACATCCTCCTGATGCCAACTTTCCCACCACCACTTCCTCTTTCCCCTGAAATCTGTGACTTCCTTACTGCTTCCTCTTATCCGCTCCTATTTCACAACTAGACTCCTCATTTTCATCCACCCCCTGCTCTTTGATCTACATACCAGTCCCCACTTCATACTGTTAAACTTTTTCAGCTGAGGTCCTTCTATTTCAGTTAGAGCTCAGAATACATGCAACAAGGAATTTTGCAACTGTAGCAAATTTTCCAGTTTTCACCAAGGAAACAGAGTTCATACTACTGGTATCTAAAGCATTCTCCGGTATATGGCAGCAAAGAAAAGCAATATTATACAGTCATGTAATTCATTATGTAACATGATATAAATGCCCTGCAACTGAGTGACAAGCCTTGCTTTCCTATATCAATAACGGCAGATAACTCCTGTCTAGTGCAAAGGTTTAATTTTATTTCATGGCATTTTCACCTTAAGCAACTTTAATCTGGATAAAATAATTACCTACAAACACCATTAGCAACTGAATACAAAACTAAATACAAAAACAGTTCAGGAAAAATTCTAATAATTTAAGTTCTTCCAGCCCAAAAGATCCCTCCTTAGGGTTCTAGCATACTTAGCACAACTTTCCCAATAGACCTGGTTAAATATACAATTCCAAAGTCCTCAAAGTTGACTATTTTGATATTGCCTAGACAAAGAACTAGGAGTGAAAATGAAAGAGTACTCATGCATATTACTTTCAGAGCACTCTTTTGCCACAAATTTGTGCATGGGTTACGATAATTCAGCACTATGAACTTGCATGCTATTCCACAGATTACCAGAATATTAAAATGGCATATATGTTTTCTGAAAAGTACTTGTTTTCCATTTCAGCCCCTCAAAAAATTAAATATGTAGTCATATAACCCAATTTAAACAGATCAAAACAGCAGTAGGTTGGAGAAAAAAAATGTCGGTTTCTCACTTTGTTTTGAAACAAAATCCACCAGGAGTACCTAGTTAAAGTACAACTTCAATATAGTATCTAATAAATCAAAACCTTTCCTTACCAGACCAAGGACCTGCAGAGATCAGCAAAGTTTATATTAGTGCTGCAAAAATATTTTAAATCCAAATAAAATTGCACTCCAAATATGATCAGGTGCTCACTGTAACAGTGTGTTCTGTTACTTACACAGTTAATTTGTCAAGAGTCTCTTGTTTTAAAATTAATTTAAAAAAATGTGGTGTTTTGCAGTAAGCATATGCCAACTGACTAATAACTTAAGGAAGTTCAAAAAGTTCCATACTTTCATTCCAGGATAAACATTGCAAATATTGTGTTTCATAGGCATAGAAACAATAAAGTATTATATAGCATCTTCACTTCTTGGTAGCGCAGCATGTTAAGTTTCCTTGGACTCTTGTTTTCAAATGTCTGAAATCCAGTAGCAACATTTCATGCCTAAAGTCACCATTTTTTAGTATTTTGTAGGTATTGCAAGCTTTCTAGGGCTAACTACATAACAAAGCAGCTTTTATTTTGACAGAAAATTGTTTTAAGAAACAGAAAGCGATGTGTATTTCAGCAATATCATGTTCTCTCTGGTCACTAACCATTTTTGGAATATGTGTGTTCAAAACTGCTATGCTTAACCACCACCCAGGTGTCGTCTCTAGTTCTGTTATTTTCAGGCATGCTCCTAGACTGCAATATTGTTGTCTGGCATTGCCCCAGAGTTGTGCAATTCTGCAGTCTTGTCACCTCTGGTCATACTGAGCCTTCACTGCTTGCGTACACTCTTGTACAAGAGAGAAGTTCCCAAACTGTGGTACATAAAGTACATTAAAGTAGTATAAAGCAACATTTTGAATAAGTTTCTCATTCCACTGAACGCTGATAGTGCTGTGCACAGATTTAGAAACTGGTTCATATAAGCACAAGCATATAGACATAAGCATCTGATAGCAAAGCCAGTAAAGTTACAGGCCAATATCCCAAGCGTAAAGAAATGCCAGTATACATTGCATGGGTAATTGTTTGGGACTGAACACTTTTTTTGGGGGGAGGGGGGGAGAGGGGACATTCAAGGTGAAAAGTACCAGGGCCAAAGAGAGTAGATTTATGCTCTGTTTAAGCAGGATTGTACGGAGGACTGTTTAAGGAGCTACAGCATGTATGGGTCAGTAGAACAGTTAGTAGTTGCAACAATAGGATCCTGAAACAGACGAAGTAAAAATTGTAGGTATCCAAGCAACAAACTATTACTTTCTAAAGTCAACACTATCAACCATAGCAGTAATAAAAACAAGACAGAAAATTTAGCGCACTCCTGGTTAAAAACCAAACAAAACAAAACAAAACCACCACATACCACCGCATTCTTGCTTCCCCTTCCACCCCTCAAAACAGAAACCTGTAATACTATAGAGAAGGGGGGTGGGAGGGAGAAGAGAAAGTCCTATTCATAAGCTAGGGAGGATGCTTCAAGATTTAAGTAGCAAGAGTTTTAACACGGTTAAAACAACTCCAGCTGTTAAGGAACACTAAAATACAAGAAACAATAACGTAACAACTTATGATTTGGTTGCACAGGGTATGGGAAAGACAGTAGAATGGTTTCAGTGTCTCATTTGCTTTTAAAAAAATCCAATGAAATATTCA